AAAAATTTACCTAGCAACTCATGATTGCATATTCTGAACATGTTTTTTGTCCAGCATTTCTTTATTGGCTTAAATCAGGTGGTTTATGTCCTCAGTTTACTGCCAAGAAAATAAGATTCCCTTAATTATACTTTCCCTCAGTTATTGTCTTTAGTTACACCTTAACATACTACATCCTATATTCTTTTTTAGTTGTCATCCTTTATATTATGCTTATTAAAAAAATTTATCAAATTTAATAAAAACATAATTATTGTAAGTTAAAATTTTATAATTACCATTACTGGACATTAAACACCCAAGCTCATTAAAATATGAGTTAGGATCAATTTATAGCAATGTAAATGTTATACCAATTTTTAGCTACTCATTTCAAAATTTCAAGAATTAATGTAATATATGATTTTTCAAAACAATCCCTTAACTTTTAAAATGTATGACTAAAAATTAATGTAAGAATTTCTTAAATTTACATCATATATCATTGGGGAATTTCAATAGGGACTCAATTAATAAAGAGGTTGGGAATTGGAATTAGTTATTAAAGAAGTCATTAAGGAATTTCAATAGGGGAAAAACTAGAAAAAAATTTAATGGATTTTTTAAAATAAAAATTGAAAACTAAATCGGAACATCTATTTCTAGAAACTGTTATAAGGACGGATGGAGTAAATTGGTAATTTGGTCAATGGATTTCACTGGCATAATGTGAAAATAACCTTTAATATTTTTGAGTTAAAATTTATAACACTTAATAAAAAAGTTAAAACAAATCATTACTCCAAAATTTCATTTTAAGGAAAAATGATTAATGTTAATTTTCCGGTAGACTTCAACATTAATAATTCAATGAAAAAAGTAATTATATTTGTGTCAATGATTAAATTGAGTTAGCTTCTCTAAAATAAAATTTGAATGTGACAAAAAAATGAGAACAGGGGGTGTGATAATTTTTTAAATTTTAATTCAACTAAAAAATATTAATTCTACTAAAAAATGTTTAAATTTTTTAAAATATTAATTTACTTCAAGTAAAAAATATTGGTGATAATTTGTCCCTTCTTTCTATCTTTCATTGATAATAGACTTGGTAAACAAATTGAATAAGATAAGTTTGAAATTGGTTACTTCAAATTTTGTATTTATTAGATTGAATTATTTTAGATTTTAGGTTGAAGGAGGTTTCGGATTAG